CAAAGTATGACAGGAAGAATATATATTGCCCAATAATATAACGAGAGATATTTTTAGACTATTTTCAAAAATACAGGGATATATTTGACGCTTTGCCGATTAAACAATTTCAATCTACGCAATCACTGAAAACCTATTTAATGTTAGCTACAAAGACCAATGCTACATCTCAAATTTCAATATCATATATCTTTTGCAATGACAAACATATGTTGACCACAATATTTTTTCCACTAGTGTGAATTAATAATAGCACAATCCATACATAGGGATATTCGTCCAATTTGTTTTATACACCACATTTAGAAGTTTCCTGCTTTGCTTCCTCAGTGATTCGAACGTGCGGTCTGTACCCGAGTTAGAGAGTACTTACCACTTGAGCAACTTTTTTTGTCTTATGAATACTTTAATTTGACCTTTCATTTACAAGAAAATTGTCACAGTCCGAGTCTATGAGACGTATTATTCGCTTTAGCTCAATAGGCCTCACAGATTTGTCCCTTAGGCTAAGCCATCGAGCCAAAAGTATGCGTTCATGTAAACTTGAGCTTTGTCTTGCTAAGTTCTTCACTTTACTCTTCCTATATTGGATTGCCAAAGGTGACATGTTCGCCATTTTTCAAAAATTTACCGGCCTAAAAATCTGTCAATTCTATTTTCGTCGTGGACGTTACAAAATTATTCAATTAGATTCCATGAATTATTTATGTCCAAAGAAAAAAAGATTCCTTGAATCACTTTCTCCACTCCGACAAGTAATTTGGACACTTCATTTTCACATGTCATGTTAATTCTTCCTAATAAAAGTTTAGAATGGTTCCAAACCACACGGTGAAATTTGTTGATTAAAAATTGCCAAAGTTATCCCAATCATTTAATGCTTCACGTTATTGCTAAGCAATCAACTTGAGTCCGACAAATATTATTGCTCTAAGATCTCTAGGAATTTTCTCCCTTTTGGAGAAAGATTTCATTTCTTTTTCTCACAACTAATAGTGCTATTTAGTCTTATGAGGATAAACGAGTTTTATTTGTCTAAGATTTTTTAATATCTTGAAACATTAAAATTCTATATAAATGGACTGTTTGATGCACGAAATATCCCGCATTTATGCAGGGTTCGTTGAAGGAACACACTCTAAAGGGATGTGATTTGGGCAGTCTACCCTGATGCAAACATCAGTGGCTGATTTCACGGGTCACACTCGTGATTTATAGGTCATATACGGAGACAACTCTATTATTGCTCCAAGACTTTCCTTTATAAAAGAGCAGTCCGGTGCACGAAAGCATCCCGCATTCATATAGGGTTCGGGGAAGGACCGCACCAAGGGGGTGTGATGCAGACAACTTACCATAATGCAAGCATCAATAGCTGATTCCACGGTCGAACCCGTAAACATATACGTTATACGGAGACAACTTTACTATTGCTCCAAAACTTCCCTTCAACCATTAAAATTTTATGATTCTTGATTTTCTCTTGTTCTTATTGACAAAGTTGAAAGGATTGTAGAATCGGTTAAAGAAGTTGTCAACATCTGATTGTAGGATTGTATGAACATGTCGTATCACTTTAATTTTTAATTATTAAGATTAAATAATTTAATTTGATATGAAATTGATTACGGATAAATTTTGACGGGTAAGAACATGTAGTTCTAATTTGATTCTATAAAATATCAACATGGTTAGTTGAAGTGGTGTTGATTTATTACGATGGAGCACCACTATGGTCATTGTCAATGTGCCCAAAGTTTGACAATGAAAGCGAACTAAATCATTGAGATATATATTTTCCAATTACCTCATTTTGCTTTAATATTAATCACAATCATAACTAGGTTTGTTCTATAACAACTAAATTTTCTCTTACTTGATCAAATTAACTTTTTTTTTCTTTCATATCTATAGTTTAAGATATAAAACAGACAGTATCATATATGAAGAAAGAGATTATTGAGATTAATAGATTAATCTATTTATTGGTAGAGGATTTTTTCCTCTGACAGCCATTTCTTCCAAAAAGCTAACCCAACAAAATCAAGATTTTTTCTAGATCTAGTCGAAAACAACCTGCTCAAGAGCGATTTCTTTTTCTTGAATCTTTCTAGATCAATGACGTTTAAGAAGAAATTAGTAAATTACATGAAAATAGTAGAATATTACAAAATGCAATTGAGAAGTTTTAGGTGGGTTTGTTTTGAAATATTAAAAACTACAGTTTTTGCCGAAAAAAATATGTATTTGAGTTGTAAGATTCTTAGAAACAAATTTTCTTAATCTTAGAAAAATTTGAGTTCAAAATTTTCAGAAAAATAGAAAGCTTAATCTTCATGAAAACAAAGTTAAAACAAACACTTTTAGCAAAAGATAAATAGTAGATTATTCAAACTCAAACACCAATCTAAAATGAACTGGTACTATTACAATTTTAAATTTTAATCCTTACATACCTTTAATTATGAAAAGAAAAGAATTACAAAATCTTTTACTGTGCACATCACAGTAAATGGAGATGTTTTGTTTTTTTCACGGGGCAGCTTTTATTGACTAATAAACAATTATAATAATAATAAAGATAGGCAAACGTGACAAGTAAAGAAAAGATCGAACTGATTAATAATAATAATAATAATAATAATAATAATAATAATAATAATAATAAAAGAAAAAAAAATCATGCATGTTTCAAATAATAATAATAATAATAATAATAATAATAATAATAATAATAATAATAATAATAATAATAATAATAAAAGAAATAAAAAATCATGCATGTTTCACACCTGCTGCAAACTACCCACTTTGGCACTTTCTTTCATTAACTTAAAGACAACGCAAACTCGTAAAGTAAGGCATGCTAATCATGAATATTACTTGGAATTGACGATCACTTCTTTTAGTTTCTCTCGTTATATATTAAAATATAATATAATATTAATATTAAAGGTAGGGAAGCCTTAGTAATTGTAACTTTTTCTCGGAATACGCAATATTTTATGAATCGAACTGCTACCATAATGTTAAACTCCTTTTTTTAATTGCCTAGGAGTTTGTCTATTTACGTCATTGTAGTTGTTTAAAATTGTTCTAGTTGTATTGTGACATGTATAAGATTTTTTATTCTATTTCAAAAAAAAGAGAAAAATACGGATTGGAGTTTTGAAGTCTTGTGATTATCGTTCAGTCTACAATATTTATATGTAGAGTTTTAGTTTCACTAAAAGTTAATCAAATAAGGTGGTGGAACTGGAAGGTTATATATGAAAATAGGCCGAATTTAATAATTTTAGTTCAAATCTTATATTTATATTAAAACCTTCAATAATTAATACAAAATTTAAATTTAAAATTTAATTACTAACATATAATATCGCTATTCTAAAATTTAGAATTATAAAGTTTAAATCCTAGCTACCCTACGGAAATAAGGATCAACGCAAGTACATAGGACTATCTAAGTCTACTTATATAAGGTGATTTTTTTCCGTTTGTCCAAGTCTTGATAGATAGAGTTATTTGGTACTTGTTGATAGTGGGAGGTATAAGATATTTAGTAGAACTAATCAAGATGCGCGCAGGTCCGGACACCACAATTATAAAAAGAAAATCCAATTACAACGGTGAATTGTAGCTTGGAATTGCTATCATTGTTTTCTTCTTGGAACTTTGCCGATACTTTTCGTCCTATACAGATACTACGTATTTGAGAATCAAAATTTGGTAAGTTGGGATCGCAATTATTAAAACTTTATAGTTTTTAAATATCGCAAATCGTCTCTACAGATGAAAATAATTCTAAACTATTTCTTAAAACATTATTTTTCTTTAAAATATTTAAAATTGAATAGAGTATAGATTTTTTTTAAGTAGGTCTAAGTAGGTATGATTACGAGTTACGACGCTCGAATGAGATAATGAGCACTCCTTTTGTTGGCACATCAAATTAGTTGTCATTCTTAGTGGAATTTTCGTCAAAGCAAAGTAAGAGAATTAAGGGTCGTTTGGTTACCTGATCTCGATATAAAATTTGAGATTATATATAATATGTATTTGATTATTGGTATTAGTTAAAACCCGTATAAATTTTAATTTAAAATAAAATTTTAATATAAATTGTAAGATTATAATCCCAAAATTATAATCTCAAAATTAAAATTCCAGAATATGTGTTCCGAACCAAATAACCCCTTAGTGGCCTACATTCTCCTACCTCTATAGATCCCTTTCTTAGTCATTTTACGTTGTATGGTTGGTGTGTCACCATCTTCCTCTTTTTATGAATGTCCTTTTTTTCCCTTATTCATTCGGTATTCGAAATTTACTAACCAGTATTAAAGAAAAAATACTCTTTACTAAAAATTTCTCGTCCTTAGTCGTTCTAGGTAGTAGTAGTGTTAACTTTTAATTACTGTATTTTTTTATCTATACAGTTGTAATATGCATGTTTACTTTGAGTCAAGGGCATATCGAATACGACCTCTCTACCGGTACAAGATAAAGGTGACAACTCTCTACCCGGTAAAAATTATATTTGTGGAATTATATTGTATATGTTATTGTTGTTACAGTAATTCCCATCAAAGAAGTCTTCTAGATAGCTTAAAATACTTTTACACAATGGATATTAGTTATTACCCCGACTCTATACAATATAGTACAAAACATGTCCCTTTACCAACCTCGTTATCAATAAAATATTAATTGAAATATATCTTAATTATTACTTAATGGAGATAATTAATACATGATTTAACCTAAACAATAGGTACTTATAATTTCTTACCACCCGATAAGGATACTAGTGACCTCCATTAAAGCTAAGCACCTATACCCCCTACAACTATAGTGGATTAGAATAATTTCTTTTTCTTAAAAAAAAGTTCAATACTTTAATTTCATTTTATTTTTTGTTTACTTATAAAGTATACCTTTCTGTTTTTTATTTTTTCCTTAAATTTTTTTTAACGAGGTAGGCCTATTTATAATAGGGGAAAGGTAGAGCACTAAGGAAGGACACAACACTGAAAACACTGCACTCTGCAGCAAGAGTTGCGAGTCTTGTGACCATTCTCTTCATATCCTTATAAATTTTATTTGTTTTCTTGAATTGTCCAACTACTTAGTTAGAAGGCAGGCACCTGCTTCTCCAACTCAAGATTTTATCAGCACATTTTTATAGGGTAATTTTCTTGTTTTCTTGAATCCTGAGTTTTCTTTTAGTGGCTAATCTTGAAACCATTTTGCAGGAATGATCAGAAAAATGATAGCCCTTTTTGGTATAGTGATATTAGCACTGATTTATAAGGCAATTATGCCACCACCTCCCAAGATTTGTGGCTCACCTAATGGACCACCAATTACAGCACCAAGAGTCAAGCTTTCTGATGGCAGATATTTGGCTTATAAAGAAAATGGTGTTCCTAGAGACCAAGCAAAACATAAATTTGTTTTCATCCATGGATTTGATTGTGTTAGACATGATGTTGCTCTGCTCACCACTATTTCTCCTGTATGTTCTCTTATCTTAAGTATTTTTATGATAGCTTTTTACTTCTGTATTTTCAAAATGGTCGTTTATTGAAAAATTACCACACATAAGACAGGACATGGGTGAGGTCTACGTACACAACACCTTACCCAGACCCCACCTGTGGCAGGGGCGGAGTTAGGGTGGCGGAAGCGGTTCATCCGAACCCCTTGCCGAAAAATTACAAGTGAAAAATATTTTTGTATGCATAAACAGTAAATGTTGAAGGTAAGGATAAAGTCTCCATACACCCCCACCTTCCCTAGATCCCACTTGTGCCAGTGGCGGAGCTAGGGTGGCGGAACACTTCGCCAAAAAATTACACAGTATATACAATATCAAAATTATTTTTTATGCATAAACATTAGATGTAGTAGATGTTGAATGTAGGGATAAGGTTACACACCCCACCCTCCCCAGATCCCACTTTTGTCAGGGGCGGAGATAGGGTGGCTGAAGGTATTCATCCGAACCCGCTTCGCGAAAATTACATTGTATATATAAGGTCAAGATTATTTTTTATGCATAAATAGTAGATTTTGAAGGTAGGGATAAATTATACATACACCCCACCCATACCAGATCCCACTTGTGGCAGGGGCGGAGCTAGGATGGCGGGAGGGGTTCATTTGAACCCCCTTCACGCGGTATATATAAGGTCAAAATTATTATTGTTTATGCATAAATGGTAGATGTTGATTCATCTTGGTATGCTCTTGTGTTTACTTTTTAATATTCCGAATCCCCTTGGTAAAAATTTGGCTCTGTCACTTGTGGGGTTACACCGGGTATGTTGTTGTTGTTGTTTGCATCATGTTACATGTTTTTATTTGTTACAATATTTTATTTTGAGTTTTAATATGGATATAATTTTGTTGTGGTGCAGGAGGTTATGCAGAGTTTGGGAATATATATTGTGTCAATTGATAGACCAGGTTATGGAGAAAGTGATCCTCATCCCCAAAGAACACCAAAGACCTTAGCTCTTGATATAGAAGAGTTAGCTGATCAATTGGAATTGGGATCTAAATTCTATGTTATGGGATTTTCTATGGGTGGACAAGCTGTTTGGGGCCTTCTTAAGTATATTCCTCACAGGTACTAAAGTCTTAAAACTAATTCTTGTCACTTGAAATATAATTGGAGCTTAACTTATATACACCGACAGTGTAAAACGATTTTTATATTTATCAGGTTATTTTTACCTATCGTAGCAGATAACCTGCCTTGTTTTCAAGATTACAGATCTCGCTTGATGACCTAATAGTATAAAAATCGTTCAGACTGTCGATATATATAAGTTAAACTCGAATAACTGCATCGGCATACTAAATCAGCAAAAATGCCAAGGCGCATAAGTCATGTCAGCCTTAAGAATTTCAGTTCACTGGACTTGGGATTTATTGCAGTAAAGTCATAAAACTGGAAGTTTGACGACCAATCGACGTGGTTGAAAAAAAGCTGTTGTTTCTATTTGGATATTATGATTCATCTGAATATATTCCAGCTTAACTGTGTGACCTTTGAAATGTGTAACAGATTGGCTGGAGCAATTCTTCTAACCCCAGTGACTAACTACTGGTGGAAAAGTTTTCCTGCAAACTTGACTAAACAGGCATATTATGAGCAGCTTGTACAAGATCAATGGACACTTCGGATTGCTCACTATCTCCCATGGTTGACATATTGGTGGAACACTCAAAAGTTATTTCCTTCTTCTAGTGTGGCATCTTTCAGTGAGGATATTCTTTTCGAACAAGACCGAATACTAATGCCTGTCTTTGATTCCTATCAGAGTAAATATCGGGTGAGCACTTCTTTAGCTTCTTAGCATATCCTCATTTCATTACATGCTAATTTGAAGTACTAGTTTGAATTTAAATGGAGAAACATTACCGGTGAGAACTCATATAGCCGCCCCTACCTTGTTTGTGATTGAGGCGTAGTTGTTGTTGTTGTACTCATGATCACTGACGGATTCAACAATGGGTTCGTTAGTGTTTCGCCTTTGACCCTATATATATGTGTGAAAAATAAGTGTATATAGAGTTAAGTATGCATTGCATAACTCACTCTTTTAGCTCAAAACCAGCACTTGTAAATGTTTTATCTGTCACTGCTCCAGATTTTACCATTATGGACAATTTGGAGAGAAAAATACGTTAGTTGTGAAAGTGGTCATTGGCAATTTGATATCATTAGTGTACTCCTCTAGCATCTGTACTTTAAGATCTCCATTACTTAAGTTCTCTTGGTAGTCTCTTAAGGGCTAGTTTGGTACGAGGGATAAGGGATAAATTTGAGATGAGTTTATCCCACATTTGGTTGGTATAAAATCGCAGTATAACTAATCCCGGATTAGTTATCCCGGGATTGTAGTGTTATTTTTATTCCCATGGGAGGGTGACATAACAATCGCGTGATAATTAGTCCTGGGATAACTTGTTTCCCAACCAAACAACCCCTAAGGGTCTACCTCAAAGCAGCTTTATTTGTTTTGGATGTAGAGGTGAAGGCAACTTGTTTCCTTGAAGATCTTCCAATGATAGTTGGATTTGTTCATTTATCTTCTAGAAGGCACTGGGGACTGTCATCAGAGTAATGTTTTAGTCTAAATAATGTAATATTGGATTATCATTACTAACTTTGCTTTACTTTCGTTGTATGGTAATGTTTTAGCATAAAAATCATAGAGTTTTATCTGCATTGACAGTGTATAGATTTTTCACATCATGAGGCGAAAATAGGTAACTCTTGATATCAAGTTCGATATGGTCACCTACAAGATAGAGGTGATCACTTGCTATAGCCAGTTAAAATTACGCTGATAGTGTAAAAATTCCTGAGTTTTGTTATATTTCTCAAATCTCAAGTAACCTTGGTAATTTCCTGATGAGATTAGGACCTGGTAAGACAACAAGGGGAGTATGAATCAATCCACCGCGACCTAATGATAGGTTTCGGGACATGGGAATTCGATCCTATGGAACTCGAAAACCCTTTCCCTAATGGTGAAGGTTCTGTTCATATTTGGCAAGGTGATGAAGATGGTCATGTACCTTTCATTCTACAACGTTACGTCACGCAGAAACTACCATGGGTTCATTATCATGAAATGAAAAGAGGAGGTCATATGTTTCCATGGGCTGAAGGAATGGGAGATAAAATTATGAAGACTTTCTTACTTGGAGAGCCCTTTGTTCTATAAAACTAAACTATGGAGCTGGTTTAGTATTGAACCAAACGACTCTGTCATTGAACATTTCAATATTTATTAACAAGTATATACCAGTTAAGTTGTCTATGATAAAGTCATGAAAACATACTTAGAGAGCCCTTTGTTGCTCAGACTTTCCGAAAATGTAGCATGGTGCGTGTCGGATCTTCCAAAAGTAGTGCATTTTTGGAGGACCTGATACGGATGCGACAGCATTTTGGGAGTCGGCGCAACATAGGCCCTTTGTTCTATAAAACTATACTATGGGGCTTGTTTAGTATTGGATTCAATGACTCTTTGTTATTGTACAAATTTGAATATTTGTCAATATTATCAAATGATTGTTTAGTTGCTTTATTCAAGTAATGAATGGTTATGTGTTAAAACTCCTATTATTGTTTCTGGTGCAGTAATGATATATGTTACTTTTGATATGAAGGTGACTCATTTGTTATAAAGCTATAATATGGAGAAGTTACTTGTTTAGCTTCTTAGCATATCCTCATTTCATTGCATGTAAATCTGAAGCCATATTGCTCAGACTCCGAAAATATTGTCGGGTGCGTGCCAGATCCTCCAAAAGTAGTGTACTTTTGGAAGATCCAGCATGGGTGCGGCAGCATTTTGGAGAGTCCGCGCAACATAGATTTGAACTGCTACTTCCGAATCAAGATTTAACCATAATACATAATTTGGACAGAAAAACAGGTTAATGGCCATTGACATAAGAGAGGATAACAGTTTGATTAGCATATACTTAGAGCTACTGTTTCCTGCACATTTTCTTGCCTAATGCATACTAGAGTCTGCTTGCAACTTGCAAGGACTAAACCTCTGTATTATGTTCTGTGACATTAGTCCATTAACTTTGGTTAATTTCCTTTATGATGTTAGGACCTGGTAAGACAACAAGGGGAGTACGAGACGATCCACCGGGATATAATGATAGGTTTCGGGACATGGGAATTCGATCCAATGGAACTCGAAAACCCTTTCCCTAACGGCGAAGGCTCTGTTCACATTTGGCAAGGTGATGAAGATGGTCATGTACCTGTCATTCTACAACGATACGTCGCGCAGAAACTACCATGGGTTCATTATCATGAAATGAAAGGTGGAGGTCACATGTTTCCATGGGCTGAAGGAATGGGAGATAAAATCATGAAAACATTCTTACTTGGAGAGCCCTTTGTGCTTTAAAGATGTAGTATGGGACTGGTTTATTATTTGGATTCAATGACTCTTTTGTCATTGAAACATATTTGAATATTTGTTAATAGCTAAATGCTATATTTAAGTTGTTTAATTCAAGTAACAGATAGTCATGAAGGCATTCCCCCTTTGTTCTATTAAAGCTGTACTAATTACTATGGGGCTGGTTTAGTATTGGATTCAATGGCATTGAATAAAATGGCAGCCCGGTACACTAAGCTTACGCTATGCGCGGGATTCAGGGAAGGGCCGGACCATAAGAGTCTATTGTAGGAAACGCAGCCTTACCTTGCATTTCTGGTTTCCACGGCTCGAAACCATGACCTCCTAGTCACATGGCAACAACTTTACTAGTTACTCTAAGGTTCCATGTAAAGCTCCGGAAAACTTTTGCTAAGTATTATGTTTTCGTTCAAGCTCTAAGTTGGACACAAAGGTGTGTGAAAAGTTATGAAGGTATAAAATACATAAATCTTATGTTTAGAAGGTTGAATGGATGGTTATAAGATGAGAGAAGTAAATTGGAATGCATTGGAGATGTTTAAGGGATGAAAATGACCTTAGCCGCACATGACCTAAGTTTAAATGAACATATCTATCAATATATAGTGAATTGAGATTTGAGCTATATATCAAAAGAAAGCCTTTGAAGTATAGTTTCTAACACTTCAAACCGTTCATCATTTCAATGTTCCTATAAAATGTTATAGGCATTTTATTGAAGACTATCTTGTTAGAAAAATGGGCCGCGTTTTTGGGCGCCCAGTGTGCGTCGGGCACCAATCAGAATGACAAAACCAGAAATAATTTTATTTGAATGTCGTGAGTATCGCTAGGAGCGGACTGTGATGCCAAAGGCGTGAAGTTGAAATAAAAGGAGCGGACTGTGATGCCAAAGGCGTGAAGTTGAAATAAAAGGGACGGGGAGAGAGAAAATAGCCTCAATTCTTTAAAGATTAAACATTTTCTCATCCTCAAGTCATTCCAGGGTTCTCATACTACCTAAGGTGAGTTTTCAATGCAATTAACGTTAGAATACTACTTCCAAACATCAATTCTAACAATATTCCATCTCAAAATCGCTAAATTCTCAACAAGAACTCAAGAACAAGGTCTTTCCGCTAACTTAAGATTTCACGATTAAAGGTAAGTTTCGTAACCGCTTTCAACCACGATTGTTAGAGAGGTTTATGGTTGATAATTGTTCCTAGAAACTACTATAAAAACTTAAATTAACTAGTTTTAGGGTACGCGCCTTACGCGTGTACCCCGCACTAATAAATATAAAATTTTAAAAAGTTACATAAATAATAATATGCTTGAGTTATAAAATAAAAATTATATAAAAAATATAAGTTCATGACAATGATAAATGTAGGGTTTTAGCCTTGTGTTTGTGGCATTTAGCTTATTTGTTTTCCAAATTGTAATGTCATGTTTATTATGCGTATGTTAATTATTTTGGAGCTGAGAGACTAAATTTTGAAAGAAGATTCGCATCATGGGAGACAATTTTAAGAACAACTTCATGCATTTTTTCGCGTTATGACGATTATTGCCCTTTTTTAAAATGCATCTTTATAGACTCCTTTTTCCAGAAAATTGACTCTTAAAACAATAATGAAATCACTAAATGTAACTAAAATCCAAATTAAAGACAAATATGCTATAATTTCCGTCTAAAAGTGCTTGTGATGTTAGGAAAATAAAAATATACGACATACACGATTTTTTTTGAATAAACATCTTAATTTTTATAAGGTAAAATCTTAATAGATTTTAAAGCCTTAAATTTTAGACTTTCTATCTAGTTTAAATAAGGAAAGATTTAATAATCATATTTTTAGTTATTTTTAATGAGTTAAATATTAGGAAAAATTATTAAATAACTACTTTGTCCGGTGTGAAATCTATTTTTAAGACTAAAAAGGCGGACAATATTTTACTAAGGAACTTCATGTTTTTAATATAACTGGTATTAAGGTACGCGTTCTGTGCGTACCCATATTAATGAGTATATAATTTTATAAAATTATACAAATATTATTAAACAATGTGTTAATTGAGTTATACAATAACAATAAAAAAGTGTCAATTCATTATTGTGCTTTTGCAACTATTTATCAATTCTGGTTACGTTATGGTATTCATGCTTGACAAAGATTGAAAAAATAGTATGGAAAATTACCTCTAGAATAATTATATTTGGATAGGTTGAATTTGTGTGATTAAAGCATAAATACATTAATTGTCGTATAAAGAAACTTAAGTGTCTTTTATTTTGACAAATGTGTTGAACTTTTTTATCGTAAAATCTTCCAAAAGAAAAAATTAGTCTTTGTAAAAATTGACAAACATGTCTTAAGTTGTTTTCCGAATATTGAAAAATTATTGTTCATGGTTGATATTATAAAAAAATAAAATAAAGAATTAATAGTTTATGTAGAACTTAAAAAAAAAAAGTCACAGATACTTATTTTCTCCTATTGTTAGAACAAATGCCACCTTATTTTGATAGACAAAACAACTTTAATTAACAACCACATTGTTACTTTGCTATTGATTCTCTTTCGTTTTTCAGTTTTGATATCACTTGTCTTTTACAAATTGATATGTTATACAAAACAAATATGAAAATAATTTATATAAGATATTTATTATTAAAACTTTTTAAATAACTCAAATAAGGAAGAATTTAATACATAGTAATTAGTTGATTTAAAAGATCCTAAGGTTTAGGGGGAAACTCAATTGACGATAAAAGTTTGGATCTTTACACAAATATGCGTGGTTGCAATTTAACTTTATTTTTATCTAATTTAGTTTACATATGATTAAAATAATTCTTACAAAGAAAAGGACTAAAACTTAGACATAGATGCCTTCTACGATTCCTAATTACTTATAAAGATCATTAACCTAGGAAACTTAAAGTGAAGAGTAAGATTCTTATCAGTTTTTACATAATTAGGAATAGGCGCGGCAAATTCACAAAGATCTTCGACTTCTAGGAAACTTAAAGTAGAAAAGTAGGATTTAAATAAGGAAAGTTTTAACAATAAATTTTTTGTTGATTTTAGCATCCTAAATAGGAAAAATATTTAAATTACTATTTTGTCCAATATGAACTCTATTTTTAAAGGGTAAAAAGGGCGAACGACATTTCGCTAAGGGCATTCGTGCTTTTAATATAATATAGATAATGAACCCTAGAAGGAGAGAAGAATCAAACCTAGGGTTTGTATGTTTTGGAAATCTTGAAACTTCTAGTATTAACTTTTAAATTAACTATGTATATATTTGTTTGGTGAGTTGAACCCATCGGATCGGAGCAAACGAAGGTATTCAAAAGCAATGAATCAAGGTGAGTAGAGACAATACTTTTACTAAAGTTGTCTTCTCACAAAGATCATGACATGAGTATTTGTTTGACTTTATAGGGCGTTAATATGGGCTCTGAATGGAACAAGTGGACTCACATTATCCATTAGAATTATAGAAAAAATCTTAGATGATTATCATGATTAATAACTCAAAAATAGTATGTTGTTCCGTAAATCATGTCTCATGCATCCATGACTTGCATATATTTCTTTAATGTATAAACTATTAAAATTTCTTTTATATGATTTTATGGAACTGTGGAGATGTATCATTGTTTTAAATTTTGTGATACAAGAATCACTCAGAAGAATATTTTGGGAGTTTCCTTAGATATCTGAGAAGGGTTCATAGCCTCTAGTAGTTTATGTTACCCTGAAAGTACTCGTGCCAGAGTAGGAGATTAGTGTACCGTTGGTTTGGGCATTATGATAGAAATGCCCTGGTAAGGCACAAGAACGCGAGTATGCTAGAACCTTAAATTGTGATGCACCACAGGAATGGGGTCTAGGCGATCAGGCCGGGATTGTCCACCATACCTATCATATGGTGACATTTTCAGAATCAGAATTAGAATCAGAAAGAGTGTCAGAATCAATGGAACTCCCCAGAAAAGAAAAGAAAAGAAAATGCTTTAGAAAATTTACAAGGATTGTTCTGAGAAAGTTTATATATTTGTCTATTTGAATTATATATTTTTTTTTCAGAAAAGAAGAGAAAAGAAAAGAAAGAGAATTTTCATGAATGACATCAAGAAGAATTTTACAATAGATATATGAGTTGTCTATTTCAACTCT